AGGCCAAAGTTCGTCCACCCCCTCCCTTTACCCCTCTTTGACTCCTCAAAACCCTTCATTATCTGCATGGAACATAGAACTATAAAACCGTCATGGCTTGAACCTGTAAACCGAGTTGAAACCTACCTTCTGGCAAACTGGGATAAACCATCACGTGGTCGACTGCCTTACGTCAACATGACTGGTAAGACCTGTAATACTACGGTCCGTTCCGCTCAGCTATGGAGCCGGGCCACCAAGTGTGCTGTTCCCTAAGATCTTTAACCAGGTTCCTATTCGAAATTATTCAAACTGTATTATCTCAATGAAATGCACTTATCACAACACTTTAACAACATCCATTATTAAAAAGTACTACTATCTAGATCACTGCTCCATGTTTAATCTGCAGTGATGTTTATTTTTTTTTTAACATTGGCTAAATCTAGAAAAATGGGTTAAACTAACTCAAAATAGACATTAGATTAATGGTATATTCTTTTCGAAGGTACTTGTATGATAACCAAATCAAAGAGCTGCCACCAGGAGTCTTCGCCAGGAATACCAAGTTGACTCACCTGTAAGTAAGGCATAACAGGTTTATATACTGTATTATTTCAATGAAATGCAATTATCACAACACTTTAACAACATCCATTATTTAAAAGTACTACTACCTAGATCACTGCTCCATGTTTAACCTGCAGTGATGATTATTTTTTTTAACACTAACTGAATCTGGAAAAATAGGTTAAAACTAACTCAAAATAGACATCAGATTAAGGGTATATCCTTCTCGAAGGTACTTGTATGATAACCAAATCAAAGAGCTGCCACCAAGAGTCTTCGCCATGAATACCAAGTTGACTCGCCTGTAAGTAGGCCATAACAGGTTTATATTCGAAATTATTCAAACTGTATTATTTCAAAAAACTCAGTATTCGAAGAGAAGGTTTTTAATCCCATCACCTCATCAAAAGACGTATTGAATTCATTCGAGTGCAAAGTAATGGTGATGTCAACAACTAAGTCTTAAAAGCTTCATTTTTCGATGCCGCATAAAATCTAAGTGTGTTATCTACAAAAAGGTAATCGAGAGCAACACAAGACGTTAAACTGACCAGCCTATATACATTGGTAGAGACTTAAGTCCACTCTTTTCTTAGTCGCACATCAGGTTTAGCACCTAGAATCCCTCTTCCCCGGTTCAAAAATAGATAAGTCCAAAGTTCGTCCATCCCCCTCTCTTTACCCCTCTTTGAGCCCTCATAACCTTTCACTATCTGCATGGTACACCGAACTATAAAACCTTCATGACCTGAACCTGTAAGCCGAGTTAAATTCTAGCTTCTGGCAAAACTGAGGTAAAACATCACGTGGTCGACTGCGTTAAATTAGCAAGACAGGTAAGAACCTGCGGAACTGCTACAACTGAACACAAACAAGAGGCAAGAATCAAAATAGTTATAGTGATGTGAACATAGCTATTTATAAACAACTCTATTGGCTGGGTTTCTGTTTCATGTTTAAGTTAAGGCATCTATCATTATAAACACTGTTTTAATCTGGAAATCTGGGTCTTTATGGCCCAGAATAGACTTCAGATTGAAAAGAATGTATCCTTCTAAAAGGGGCTTGGATGACAACCAAATAGGAGCACTATCACCTGGAGTCTTCACTTACAACACTGAGTTGACTAACCTGTGTGTAATAAATTAAAACCTTTGCGATTGCATCGATTATCCATACATTCGCCTTATTTATCAGACATCGGCAAAGTTCCTTCAAGCTCAATTCATGGTAAGTAACAGACGGTCGTTAGTGGCTTTAAAAGCCAGTTGACATATTTAAGTAATTGGTCAGGCCAAGCTGCTGTAGGAGAAAAACTTCACTCTCATGAACGCTTTGCACAACGCTTCATCGTGGTGCACTGACAGTGGCATAGTTGATTTCATAAAAGGTGCATGTTAGGATTAACACAGCCATTTCATGACAAAATGTAAACGTTACGTTTATCCTAACCGGCTATCGTGATGTGCTCAAAGTCTCGGTATTTGTTGATTATGAGTGAATATTCAATAAGCGTCTTCAACCACGAGGTAAATAAAACATAATTAGGTTCGCTTGTAAAGTAGCACTTTAAAGGGATCCTCATGTTATGGCAGATGCATTGGAGAGACTTAAAGAAACCTCATAATAAGCCTAACTTGTATACTTACTTGTACATGATAGAATGTAAACTTTTGCTTTAAACATTTCCAAGTTAGCTTACTGTTGTTTTTTAAGTTTTTAAGTTCAGTCCTTCAGTTTGCATATGCGTGCCAGTATTTACAGGGAGGCACTTGCAAGTGTTTCCTTTCAGTGGAGCGGGCCTCGCACTCCGCATTTCAATTCACACCAGCACTCCACGTATTGATGATACAAAGTTTCCCAAACTTACAGGTGGTTAAACGGCAAAAAGTTGAAGAATTTGTCAGGCGACGTATTTTCACAATTAGTCAAGCTGCAGTGGCTCTAAGTGAACATTCTTCCTCATATATAAACTATATTTCTACGTTTTATTTGAGGGGTTCCCCTTAAGTGACTGTTCAATACAGATGAATGACAATACAAACTGGGACTCAGTAAAGAGTGACCGCAACCGCTTAGTAGAGGTGGATATTACAGTGATTGGTGGAAAACAAATTCGGGAATTTAACCGACCGCTTAATACAGGGCGACAGCTTCATACGGTGCCGCTGAATAGAGGTCCAAATGTATATCCTTTACGTAAGTTCTTGCATCACAATCACATAGCAGAGTTACCACTGGGCGTCTTCAACAACAACATTAATTTGACTCGGCTGTAAGCAAATAACATCTAACATCTTTAAGACAAATAGTTTTAGGCAACTAATATAGACCCAACCATGCGTGTAGAACACCGAAGTTCATAATGATAGGATCTAAATCCAAACATATTTAACGAATCTCGGTTCAAAATTTTAATAGATATTCAGTTCCCACCATTATCAATCCTTTTTAAATGCAAAATTTGTTCAGATGGACGCAACCTTTACTTAACGAAGCATGCATGACTTGAGTGACAAATGCTTTGCTTTGCACAAACGGAAAATTACCAAATGTTGTATTTGAATGGTATAAGCAAACCTAGTAGGGGAGGCAGCGAATCCAAGTTTTAATGCATGAATTAACTCTCTAACAGATCAAAATAGAGTAAACGAGTGAGTGAATTTATATAAGACATCAAGGACTGCGTCAACAACAAAGCAACGATCGACACGTCACGCACGTTCTTCTTCAAGCGTTCCAAGTTTCTCTGCTCGTGTCCAATGTTCTGTGTTCTTTGAGGGTGATACGCAGTATATTCATACCCAATCAAAACGTCGACGGGTCCCACTGGTCGTGGGATATCGTCCTTTGACATGCCTTTGAAATTTGCCAGATTCTCGGTGCTCACACTTTCGATGTCTGAAGTAATCTGATCAATACCATAGGCTTCAATGTGTACTGTTTGACCTTGCGCATCAGCTAAGGGTAGTACATATTTCATCGTATTAATCTTCTCATCCTGGGCTCCTATCTTTATGATCGATAAATCTGCTTTCTTTCCTTTAAGATTTTGTTCTTTAGCTGTGGAATTCGTAACGAAACATAGAGAAGCTGCGTTGTCCCACATTACGTTCAACGTTCCCTTTTTGGTTTTGATCTTCTGCACTTGTAGCAGGCAGGTGTCAGTCTCTGTATTGCTAAAAACGTTCGTTGGCCCAGAGGCGCTGGACATGTCTGGCATCTGTCTTTCTTCGTGCAGAAACTGATGATGTGTCAGTGGACAGTCTTTTATGTTGCATATTTTCTTCGCTCTGCATACACGAGACCGGTGTCCGACCTTAAGAGAAGACCAGCAAGCATTTTTCTCTTTCAGAAGTGGCTTCTTTTCGTTAAGAGACTTCGACGAGTAGACTTTACATTCCTTAGTGGAATGCTTACCACCCTCATGAATTAAGCATTTACCTTGCGTCATTCTTTGTCCTTTCATATCGATTTCCTTCCTAGCAGTTGTATTGGTGAATTACGGCTTTCACTGGGCCGGCTGGTACTCTTAGTGAGGCCGTGTCATATTCTATGGCTCCACGTTGGCTGCGTAGGAATTTAAGAAGCGATGGAAATTTGTTAGTTTTATCAACTGTACTTTTATCAGCGCTCACAATCTCGGCTTGTTGTTGTTATCTCCGATTCTAGACCGAGCCTTTTTAGATCTGTGCAGCTAACTTCAACGATATCTACGAACTCAACAAATCTCTTCTCTTCTCCTTGTCTTATAACTCTTGTTCGCCGTATTCCGTCGATAATGACATCTGCAACTTTTGCTGGATCTTCATACTTCCCATCTAGCCTTTTCCACATTTCACTGATAACGTCGTCAATACTTTTAACGATAGTCGCAGGATTGCTACCTAAGCATACACGTAGTACGTAGGACACATCGTCGCTTTGGAGATGCGGCATGATTTGTTTTTCAAACTCTCGTTTCTCGCGACATGTTTTGTTTTTCAAAGTCTCGTTTCATCCTCTTCGTTAAACATGGAGGGCAAGTGCAGTCGTGATAACGCATGAGTCACTGCATCTCGCTTCGATGGAACAAATCTGGTGCTGATGCTGTAGGGTCAAAGTGCGCCAATACAGTTGCCGCCGTTAGGGCGCATTTCACAGCACAAACGGCTTTTTCACATCTCTGTGACCAGTTCCAAGGTGTGGTCCCGATGAGCTCGCATAGAGGATGACATATGAGCCGAAAATAAAAGGTCAGAGAATTGTTTGGCGTTTGTATTTGAGTCGACATCGACGTGAAAATTGAAATCACCACAAAGAAGGAATTGACAGAATGTAACAGTCAACTCCTCTGATAACACAGGGAATTCTGAGAAAAACCTTTCTACTGTAAAGCCATTTTTCTTGGACGGTGGAGGTCGATATACTGTCACAAGGCGAAAAACTTGTCGCCAGAGGTGATAGCTGAATCAAAATGTTCGAACAAAGAAAAATACAGCCTGATTCCGCTTAACACGAAGCCCTCTGCGTGCGATAACAGCAAGTCCATCTCCTCTGCGAGTGGATCTTGGCAAGTGATGAAAAGCGTAATCCTCAAGTGAATTCGTGAGGTCAGCAATGGTAATACTATCGTTTGAGGTAAACCACGATTCGGTCACAGATAGAAGATCAAGACTACAAGACAACATAAGATCACTTAGCGACGATACTTTGGTTTTCAGTGGGCGAGCATTCCAAACACCGAAACGTAGTAGTGGACTACTGCATGTCCGATTTGATATCAGCGGAATACGAACAAGATTGTTGTCATTCCGTCCTGAGTGAAATGAAAATTGGTGACGACGAGGTGTCATGGCGGGCTGAGTATTTAAAACCTTCGTTGCTTCACACGCCCTGACCGGTCTTGCACTCCGGCAGCCACGATAGGGCCGCTTCTATTTGGATCTTGAAGATGAAGAAGTAGGTCCAGGATTTAGTTCAACATCCATATGGACGGTTATTTCAATTTAACAGGGTGAGAAAAAACAAAGATATTCATGCTTAGTCCATAAGCACACCAGCCGCAATACAAATAGCTTTCGCTTCAAGCGAAAGAAACTGCTCTGGTGAACTCTTTCGAGGCTGTCTCTCTTATTTCCACCCGGTCAATTTTGCGTCAAAAATAATTTTGCCTGAAACTCTGTTAACAGAAAGACTTTACCTAGGAAAGAACTAAATTAGATTTGGTTTGATTCGAAATAATTTTCTGACTGCATTACGGGCCATAATTATTTCCCAGTCCGTAGGGACCGTCGCAACGTCTCGAAAATTGAAAAATAGGCATATTTTGTAACGTTGTAAAATATTTGATTCGCATAGTTAAGCCACGGAATTTATATCAGATTGCTTAAAAACCTTTCTAGTTTGCCAAGAAAGTTAGAATTTGCCCTCTCAACAAATTTGAAAAGGCGAATTTTAGCATATTCTGACCACTAGAAATCGCCATCGGCCGATGGCCGTAAATAACCTTGATTTAGACGCTAAGTTTTGGGATTTGGGAACTGCTTGACGATTCTATCCTGCACAGCCGTTAAGTTAAGACCTTTATAGGCAAAAATATGCAAAAACCCTTGTACGTTTTCGATTTTTCAAAAGTTATGACCGTTTGAATCAGCACATGTACGAGCATTCGCGATTTTTTCGCCTACACCAAAATCGAACCACCAGAGCAGATTTCGTCATAAATACAGCTTACCCGCTTTGCAGCCCGGCTTCATGGCTCACTTCAGAGTTTTTCTAATAACCAAATTGGTGAAATCCATGATAACTTCAACAAATAGCTAGGTATTGCCTTCCAAAAGTAGGCGGCATCCATCGTGATTCGTGGTATCAAAACAAATGCCGGAATTGGCCACATTTCGCGGTGAATCACCCATGAATTTTTTCCAAAATCAGAATATGAACTCTCCATGTCTGGAAGCTGAGGGACAAATGAAGATTTTAGGCTTCTGAAGTAAAGAAATAATCGCTTAAATTTAGATCCAGTTCGATGTTATACTGTTCTCACAAAGGTCCGCACAAAAGAGAAGACCGCTGATAGCTTGTGCCGTACGTTGTGCCATATGGTTTTGTTTTGTATCCCAAAGTAATATTTGGGCAGAAAAATTTTGGATGGAAAGAATAAATGCTTTTACCTGGAGTTTGATATCATTTAATTAATAAATCAATTTCAAATATCCTGAGCTTGCTTCTCTCGGTTCCGCGTCGATTGTGTCCACAGAACAGCAATCTGTCAATAGCCGGAGAAATCATGGGTTTATGTGAAATTTCAGATATTCCTCGCTTCCCAAACTGGTGAACTGGACTTTATGATAACTCCAGCAAATACCTCCAAAATTCAGCGGTCGGCATCTGTCAATACTCTTCTTTGACTCGTTGTTGCGAACTAAACTCGAAAACTAAAGCCATGTTTCGCGCTTAATGTCCCGTTGAAACTTTGGATTGCAGCTGCATTCTCTTCAAGAATCAGTCATAGAACTCCACTTGTAAGTCTATGTGTCGAAGTTTGGCGTTTTGGAATTTAAAGCTGAACGATTGCACTATCGCGCATAACAGAGGTCCGCATTAATCATTGCGGGTGAACCCGCTGACCCTTTATTTTTTTTTGGAAGGCCTGCAAGTGTAGTATGGCATGCAAGTGCTTTTTTCGAAACCAGAGAGGCTTCAGTCTGTAGAGAGTCTTCAGCGAGGTTGTTAAAGCTTTCATTGGACAGAGGATACGCATTGACGAAACACCCAGTGAAGGGAACAACAGCTGCAGTAAGAATAGTAGACGAATCAAAGAACACTCTCTGTATAAATAAGATTGAGCATTTTAGTAGCTTCCACAACTACGATTCGAATATGGAGATATCGGTCTGAGAGTTTGGAAATGTTATGGCATCGGTAAAGGGAAGCACATTCCATATGACGTAATTTATATCAAGCACCAAGGTCAAACGTCCCTTCAAACCATAGAATCTCAAGGGTTTTATGATCCTCCTGAAAAGCGTGTGGTCAAGCGTCGTTCAAAGGGCAGCAAGGAAACAGAGAGTACAACGCCATTGTTTGAATGCTCTGTGTTTGGATGTGTTGAAGTGTTCGAAACCTTTTCGCAGCTGTAGCTGCACCTGGACGTTGGAAAGCATACAGTCAGCAGGTTAAAGCCAGTATGATGCAATCAAAAGGGACTGGGCCCTTAAGTTCTCGTCGATAGATACCGCTGGTATCGAGTGTTCGAGCTGTTCGTTAGATTCTAGTACACCACTCACTTCTCCCGTGGATACTTCGCCCCACTCGTCTTTACGGACAGGATGGGCCGTAAGCAAACCAAGGGGCAGCGTTAGGTTTTCAGAGAAGGTAAAAGAATACCTAACGGCACGGTTTACACTTGGAGAAAGAAGTGGGCGAAAGGCCGACCCCGCCCAAGTTGCAGTGGACATACGAAATGCAAAAAATGAATCAAATGCACGTTTGTTCACTGGAGAACAGTAGCTGACAAAGAACCAAGTTCAGAGCTTTTTCTCCCGGCTAGCAGCAATGCGGCGAAAAGATCAGGGTGTGATCGGGATATCACTGGATGAGGAGGAAGATATCCAATGCGTCCAGGAAAATTCCGAGAGATAAGATCTGGTAGACAAAGTTAACAAAGAGATCAAAGTCTCACATCCAATCTGCTACGATACGTAGGACCTCTGTGAACGTTACCACAATAACACACTTCAGAAATTCAATGCGGTTTTGTTGAGAGCCATCTGTAGTCATTTTGAGATCCCTGTAAAATTGAGAGACAAAAAACAGATCCTCATAGACAAATTGTCGGACGTGATTAGTGATTGTCAGAGTGTTTCTCAGTAGACTTATGTAAACAATGTCTTATACGGTGGCTGAAAGTGTAGAATATGCTCTATAGATACAAACTACCTTTACTTCCGATATCAAGTTCTGACGGCGTTGTTATAGTGTAATATATTATAATATCTAGTAGTCAGTGAAATGTTTTGATGAAATCGATTGAAAATTTACCAAAAGCAACACTTATAACATCTGTTCATACGAAGCATGTGTCAAGTTTTTAACACGTTGGTAGCCGATTTCTCCGGCTATTGACAGATTGCTGTTCTGTGGACACAATCGACGCGGAACCGAGAGAAGCAAGCTCAGGATATTTGAAATTGATTTATTAATTATATGATATCAAACTCCAGGTAAAAGCATTTATTCTTTTCATCCAAAATTTTTCTGCCCAAATATTACTTTGCGATACAAAACAAAACCATATGGCACAACGTACGGCACAAGCTATCAGCGGTCTTCTCTTTTGTGCGGACCTTTGTGAGAACAGTATAACATCGAACTGGATCTAAATTTAAGCGATTATTTCTTCACTTCAGAAGCCTAAAACCTTCATTTGTCCCTCAGCTTCCAGACATGGAGAGTTTATATTCTGATTTTGGAAAAAAATTCATGGGTGATTCACCGCGAAATGTGGCCAATTCCGGCATTTGTTTTGATACCACGAATCACGATGGATGCCGCCTACTTTTGGAAGGCAATACCTAGCTATTTGTTGAAGTTATCATGGATTTCATCAATTTGGTTATTAGAAAAATTCTGAAGTGAGCCATGAAGCCGGGCTGCAAAGCGGGTAAGCTGTATTTATGACGAAATCTGCTCCAGTGGTTCGATTTTGGTGTAGGCGAAAAAATCGCGAATGCTCGTACATGTGCTGATACAAACGGTCATAACTTTTGAAAAATCGAAAACGTACAAGGGTTTTTGCATATTTTTGCCTATAAAGGTCTAAACTTAACGGCTGTGCAGGATAGAATCGTCAACCAGTTCCCAAATCCCAAAACTTAGCGTCTAAATCAAGGTTGACGGCCATCGGCCGACGGCGATTTCTAGTGGTCAGAATATGCTAAAATTCGTCTTTTCAAATTTGTTGAGAGGGCAAATTCTAACTTTCTTGGCAAACTAGAAAAGTTTTTAAGCAATCTGATATAAATTCCGTGGCTTAACTATGCGAATCAAATATTTTACAACGTTACAAAATATGCCTATTTTTCAATTTTCGAGACGTTGCGACGGTCCTACGGACTGGGAAATAATTATGGCCCGTAATGCAGTCAGAAAATTATTTCGAATCAAACCAAATCTAATTTAGTTCTTTCCTAGGTAAAGTCTTTCTGTTAACAGAGTTTCAGGCAAAATTATTTTTGACGCAAAATTGACCGGGTGGAAATAAGAGAGACAGCCTCTTAAAGTCGCTTCTTCCAATTGAGAAACTTTGTAAAGACTAGAAAAGTCGACTATAATGGATGCTGACATAAAAAGTGCTAGAAATATGACAGGAAAATAACGAGCATAAATAGGCATTGCAGCCATTGTTCGGCGCATACAATCTGTCCTGCAATGTCCAGCGGTGCACCAGTATGAAAGGGGAATGATATTTCTACTGGGTCGCACTGCAAGGTACTTGAAATACCGCTCATAATCTGTGTAGTATAAGATTGAAGCTGCCGCTCCTGTGTCGACTTCCATCCGGAATTCTACGCCTTCAATCTGCACAGAGACCTTCATAGCAGGTGCTGAAAGTCCTGACTTACGCTGCTCTAATTTCTAACTCTCTTCCAGAGTGAAAATGGACCTAAGAAATTCATCTCCCATGTTCTCCTGCAGTCCAGCTTCTGAATCCTGTTCCGTGTGATGTACATGTTGTTTGCTCGCCATCTCTTTTGGTGGTGGTTTTGCATTGCGACACTCAGACTATGATCCGTTAAATGGCATTTAAACATTCAGAATTCTTGTATTTGCATTTGTCTGGGGTGTGGTTGGCTAGCCTGCAGCGAAAACAGCGTTTCCTTTGGTGACATCGACCCACTGAGCGACCGCGTGACCACACGTTGTCACGCTTAACCTGATTTACGCCCGACGAAGAACTTTCACCGTAAGGATTTCCTCCACAGTGTCGCACATCCTCCTGGGCTATTTCTTTTGCGATTGCAGCGTCCACTGCTTCTTGAAAAGTGAAGTTGGCCGATAATAATTTACACTTAATCTGCTCCGCGCAAAGCCCGCAGATGAAACGATCGCGTGGAATATCATTTAACTGCACGTTGGTGAATTCATATTTTCCCGCGAGACGTTTTAACTCTCTCCCAAACTCCACGATGCTTTGCCTCGGTTTCTGGTTTGCAGAATAAAATCGGTATCTTACTGCGACTTACAAGCGAATGGGCGTGTAATGACGACGTAACAGCGTTACAAGTTGGTCAAAAGTCTTCGTATTCGGCGCGTCCGGGAATGACAAATCCTTTAAGACTCGATAAGCACCTCTTCCAATAGATGTTAAGAGTATTGCTCTTCGTTTAGCGGGACTGTCCGTGTCGTTCTTAATATCGAAGGTGGTGAAATATTCTTGAAGCCGTTCGATATAGCTCTCGATATCTTCAGACTCAGCACTCAAGACAACAAAAAGAGGTCTTCCCGCCGAGTGGTTAGCGTTAAGGTTGAGCTGATATCATAGATTTAAGACCGGATTTTCACGTAATGCTCCGTTCGTCGAGGTTGGCTGTTCGTTCTCCAGTTTACCTCGTCGCCACCGTAGCGTACGGCGTCGGATTAAGTCTAAAGACGCGAAGAAAACTGGACGGAGGCTCCCACGATATATCGACTCGAACGTGATATATGAAAACGAGGCTGACAATCGGCAGCGTGAATACCGTATTTATTCGATTAAGCGACCAGGGCGCTTATTTAATTTTTGGACTTTCAGGGTGGGCGCTTATGCTAGGTGGGCGCTTATTCGAGGCTGGGCGCTTATTACATTTTCACCATTTTCAGTAAGTAAAAAGTTTATTTTGTAACAAAACAATAAATAAGAACAAAACATGATAAAATATTAAAGCATATAAATTGTAAGTATTTATTGTTCGGTTTATGCCCAGGACTAACAACTCATTGTTCGGTCTTCGCAAAAGTCTCTTTTGCTATCATAATTCTCAATAAACTTCATTGTAATCGTCACTCAGCTCAATAAGTGAACTTTCTGGTGCTGCCTCCTCGACATCCGACAGCGTAACGTCAGCAAATGGGTCAGTCGAGCAAGAAGCTGTAAGGGCTTGCTGGATAGATGCCAGGCGATCTTGTCCTGTATGACAAGGTTGACCCTCCTTTAGGCAATGAATCTGATCATCTTCAGATCCTTCAGGAGCCACAGTAAGCGCGCAGCCTTTGAAAGAACTGATAATTAACTCTCTGTCTAGAGTTTCCCAGGCCTCAAGAACATACTTGACGATTTCAGGACGAGGTGGGCCACGCATGTTTCCTGCGGCTGTAAATGAATGAGCTCCGTCAGCCATCCACGCATCGTACTTCTCAGTTACTTTGGCCTTGAAAGGCTTATTCCATGCCATGTCAGGGGCTTGGATATACTCAGTACAACCACCGGGTACTATGACAGGGTCGATCTTTGCCTGTGCGAGTTCTTGCTTGATGCTGTCTGTGATGTGGCATTTAAGAGTCCTAAGCCAACATCCGACGAGTAAATGAGAACTTGCCCAATACTCCTTGCACCTAGTCACGAGTCAGGTCTTCATTCATCCATCCGTTTACAGAAGAGGTTACATAGCACTTATTTTTAAACTCCACATTAAGCTGCTTTGTTTCTCTCTTAGCTCCCGGAAAAACAATAAACGGCTTTAGTTTCATTCCGTCTGCCTTTGCTGTCAAACAGACGGAGACTTTGGACTTCTCATGTCCTGTTGTCTTCAGTAAAATTGAATTTTCTCCCGCTTTGTCAACAGTAGCGCTGGACAGCATATCTTGCCAGACAGCTGTGTCGTCCATGGCAATAATGTCACTATGATTGTAGGAATGCCTGCTTCGCTGTCGTCGTACTTGTAAGATATAGGCAATAAGCTTGTCGATAAGTCTGTCCGGGTCTTTCTTCGATTCAGTGGTTCTGCGCCTCACAGACAGCCCATTCCTGGCCATACACTTCTGGAGCCAGCCATTACTTGCTATAAAAGACGGAGAAACCTGCCATGTCTTGCATTTTTGCTCATGAATAGCTCGCGCTTTGTGCGAAATCATTGCCCTTGAAACTCGAAGGCCGTGGAACCTGCGTTCATGCATCCACTCTAAAAGCTATTCACGAATTCTCTTACGATCTACATTGAACTTTTTTGCTGCGCTAGAGATACTTTTACTTTCTTCGGCAAACTTGATAGCTTCTAATTTATATTCGGTCGAGTACGAACTTACTTTTCTGCCGGCATGAGACTGAGATGTATCAGTCTCCATGCTTTTAGGTCAAAGGGAAGATGAAAACGTGACTTATGTGATTTATATCTTTTTAAACATCTCTGGAATCAAATATTTGATCTGTCAGTTTAAACATCACATGAATGCATGAAGGTGCTGGATCCCACAAGTTTACAATAAGGTAATTATGTACAAGAACGAAAGTCAAAGAGCTCCCGGTACATAACAGGAAACACGTGTGGCTTCCGCTGTAGCTTAGCTAACTGAACAGCTCGCTTTTAGTGCCAGAGCGTTCAATGTGAATTCAAAGCCATGGCTCGCTCAAGGTTTCACTATCTGAAATGGAACTTTGTGTTTTAAGTGCAATTCACATCAGTTATACGAGGTCATCATATTTATAAATCTGTGTGGACTCCAACTTTGGGGGAGAAACTTAACTGCCGCGAGGATGATCGCAAGGAAGCCAAGCAACATGAGGAATATGCAATTGGGACGTATTTGGAAGCTAATACTGGCAGCGAGCTTGTAGGACATGTGCCAATCGAACTATCTTACCTCATCTATACATTCCTGAGAGCTTACGACGATAATGAGGTTTCTGCTAAAGTAACAGGGTCAAGAAGGCTGGAGAACGGACTTGTTGTGCCAGGAACATTTAAAGCGCGGACACCAAGCAGGGCTATTGCCACGAAGTTTGAGCGGGAGCTTTTGCGGCTGAAAGAACTTTGCGCCCACATGGACATTTCAGTTGAAACTTTGAGAAAAATTCCAACGTTATCATAAAATTTTCAGACAATGAAACTAGAGATTTTAAGCCATTGATGAAATATCGTAATAATCAATACCCGTATTCCTCTTATGAACTTTCTTTTTTTTTTTCTTTTGGAGGGTAGGCGCTTATTCGAGGTTGGGCGCTCAAAAAGTACTGGGGGGGGGGTGCTTATTCGAGGCTGGGCGCTTATAAACTTTTTCTACCGCCAGGGTGAGCGCTTATTCGAGGTGTGCGCTTATTCGAGATTGGGTACTTAGTCAAATAAATACGGTACTTACGTCTACACACCAATTCAACGGCAAGAGTTTAAAGAATGGAATTTACATCGAACTATCTCAGCTCATATTATTACCCAAACCAATAATCTGATCAAGAATCGTATTTCCAATGTTGTATTTGTGACACTTTTCAGACAGAAAAAAAACACCTCTAATCTTCAAAGCACGGTTTTGAATTTTGAAAAAGAATTGCGGGCCAAGATAGAGAATTAGAGGAATCTAACTACAAGGATAAATTTTTAAGATGAACCTCATCAAAAGACTTATTATTATTCTAGTGCAAAGTAATGGTGTTGTCAACGACTGAGCCCTAAAGCGCTCTCTCCGCGTCTCACGACGTGGAGAGAGCGATTATGAAATTCGAATCATGACAATCTCAACTTCACTTCCAGGACCACTTTGTGGCATAGCGGCATAGTTCATTTCATAAAGGTGCAAGGTAAGGATGAACATAGCTATTTCCAAACAAAAGCTTACGTTCATCCAAACTGGCTGTTGTGATATGCGCAAAGTCTCTTTATTATCTGATTATGAGCGAATACTCAATGAATGTAGAATATAATTGTGAAGTGATCCCCATGTTATGGCGAAGGAATTAGAGAGACTGGAAGAAACCTCGTCATAGGCCTAGCTTGTATATTTACTTGTATATGATAGAATGTGAACTTTTGCTTCAAACATTTCCACGTTAGCTTACTGTTATTTTTTAAGTTCATTCCTTGAGGACTGAGATTGTGCCATACTTAAAATGTTGATATGTATCAACTCGCCAACTCGTTTGTTTTACCCGGACACGGCTCAAATAAACTGTATTCCGACCGAAAAAGTACTCAACAGCAGCAACATACAAGAGGTATTATAATTTGAATTAAAGTTATGGAATATCTTTTCTTAGGTCCTTGAGTAGTAACCAGATAAATGAGCTACCACCTAGAGTCTTCAATAATAACACTGAGTTGATCATACTGTAAGTAACAGATATCCACGCCTATTTTTATATTAACGTTCGATGTGGTAAGAATGTAATGTCAGTGTTTACTTAATATGATCAAGACTTTCCTCAAACTTAGTAGCCGTAGTTAACCATGAAGAGAATGAAAGAGGGTGGGACGGTTTATATTTGGAAAGTTTAATCAGTGTTCATTTCTTCTTTAAACGGCAAATTGTTGCCGTTTAACCACCTGACTATATGAGTATAATTTGAACTAAAGTCGTGGAATATCTTCTCTTAGGTCCGTGGATAACAACCAGATAAAGGAGCTACC